TTTGCGGTTCTCGGTGAATCTGCCGGGAAGTATTTACTATCAGGTTCCCCAAATGCTATGGTGCTATGATCAAAATCCACTTCTCGCCCCGATAAGAAGAACGAGCAAAAGCGTAAAAAGCGTAGCAATGCTGGTTTACTTGTAACCTGAGATAAAGCTATACACATTTTCTTGGTTTGTTTCTGCATGTGGCCGTACCCTTTTTCAGGTTGGTTCAAAGGGAAAACCATGACCACAGAGGGCCGAAGTTCCGAACTTCTCAATCCGAGAAGCTACGAGAGAAGTGTATACCCGCAAATCCCATGTGACTCCCCACAAAACCCAGGGGGATATCCAGAGGATTCCCTAAACTGCCCCGCCCTCTTGAAGTGGCGAGGAATTTCGACCGTGGCTCATGTGGGTTTGGGGAAGGGATCGTTTAATGCGGGCTCGGGATGCTGTGGGCAAATAAGCCGTAATCGGATGAAGTTGCTTTGTCCAGGCAGCCCGTTTTTTTTCTTTCTGCCCGGTCGCAAGAGCTCGCATTTACGGACTAGCAATCAAATGGAGATGTCCAGTGCAACAGTAGCCAGGTGTGCTTTTCTTTTCAGTCTTACAGGTCGGGTCCCGTGCTTGTACCTGTGACAATGGAAACTGGAAGCGCTGCATTTGATGTGTAACATGCATGTCTTGATGCTTGAATGTCTCGCTTTTTCGGGCCAGGCTTGATTCGGGTTCGTTTAACGTGTTTCTCGCTGCATATGGACTGGTCTTCAAAAACCACGAGGAGAGTCAAAACCAACTGGTGTGGTTGGGTTTTGTCATGGCCCCGGGTTTACTATACTGGGCTCATAGTAGCGAGCTCACCTGGGGGAAGAACGAGCTCACCATGATAAAAGTCCTTTACTTGGGGATCCCTTAATTCAGCCTTTGGAATTATAGTAAATTTGCTGATTCTGTGATCAAAAATAAATTTGGATTTCGAATACCCAAACACGCCATTCGAACAATTTAGGCACTAACATTGGCAGATTACGTATTTCTGCAGGTGTCCGTTCCCCAAGTATGGTTTCCCGTGAAACTGCGGGAGGTGGGGTTCCAACCTGACACGAGCTATATGAGGTGTCTACATGAGCTGGAATATGTAGACAACAAGTTGTCGTGGTTGTTTGTTTGTTTTTGGGGGGGACTTGCCGCATCAACGCGGCTTCTTCAGGGGGAAAGTGCTTTTTGACAACCGCATTGGCATGAGCACATTACACTAGATGCTCAACAGCTTCCTTCGGCTACAGAGGAACCACCCAAGACACATTTGGGTATGGGTCGAAATTCAACCACCAGGAATTGGACCGCAGGTTTTGGTCCATGTTTCCATTTACCAGAGCAACCCATTTTGGGTACCGCTTTGTGACCCACGCCCATTTGTCCAATGCTATAGAATTGTGTGTTTGGGGGGCTCTTTAAACGGCTGTGTGAATCTGTGCGTCAAAACTAGGGACCCATGCTAGCCTGCGTTGCGCAGCCAACATCAAACCAATTAAGACGAAATTTAGCTTGTTCGGTTGTCGTGCGCCTCCCCCCCCCCCGGAAAAAAGAACGGGGCATATCAACGTCAGAGGAAACAACAGCACGACCCGGGACAGTTTCACGGCGCCCAGTGTTGGGTCGGCTTTTGTGGCGCCCTTTATGAAACTTCCTACCTAGGCTGGGTTACGAATAAAGCATCGCTCTTGGCATGTCTAGTTGTTGGGTTCCTTGATTTGTTTCATGGTTCGCCGGTAGCTACAAAAACAGCCACATCCTTCTTCGCTGCTGTGAATTTCCCAAACGACAAGTGAACCAATCAGATCCAACCATACGCTAATAAAACTGCTGTACTATAGACAAAGCAGGTTTCTAGTTTTACACTTGCAATATGTGGTTGGTACCTGTCTGCCACAGGCCCCGGCTCAGCCGGCTGCAGTGGAGCCGGTATCTTGGCAGCATCCCCACCCGGAAAAGAGAGGTTCGCCTCTCAAGTTCGGTTTTCCTTTGGCTCCCCTGGACTTCTTCGAAGGGATTCCGAGCCCAGATCCTGGATTGATTCATTCGATTTTGCCTGTGGGCAAGGCGGATGAAAAGTATGCACCTTATCATTGCCCCCTTAATTTTCTTATGCCCTCAACCCCCTCAGGCCCCATCAATCTTTGCTTGGAATATCAGTTGCTCCTGCGTTTCAGGAGCTGCCAGACTCTTGGACTTAATCAAAAACACCTAGCGTCAGCCCGAGTCAGCCCTGTGAATTCCCATCAGGCCCTTGCGCCGACGCTGGACGAGTCCATCCAGAAACCGGAAAGAAGAAGTGAGGACTTGGAACCTGTGAGCCAAGCGGAAAAAGACTAGCGACGTATTCAGCGGTTGGCTCAAGGAACATGCCAGGTGAAAAGGCCACTCCAGGGGGGTTGTGTCCTTTTGGATCTTCGTTTGAAGATCCCTTGGAAAGGGGTTCCCCGAAAATAAGAATGAGATAGACGCGACGGGTTCGGTACAGTTGAGGTCCCTTCCCTGCTTGGCCCGAAACCAGCACCTTTTGGGGCCCTGACAAAGTGCGCTTGTTTAGGGGTGACGTTCTATGGGCTCGGTGCGTCTTCTTGCCCTTTTTGCAAGTGCGTGAAAGAGAAAAGCAAACCCAATATAGGGAGCCCAGTGCTGATAGTAGAACTCTTGAAGGGAATACCATGGCAAAAAGAAAACGTGGCAAAAACACCGGTGTCCATTTTGGCCAGTTTCTTCATGAGTTGCCCAAAGCCGCAGACGAAACTCAGCCCGACGCCACTGAAGCCAAAGTTTGCTTCGCATTTGTGGCTCTCGGTTCACGCGCCGCTCCGAATGCCCATGCGACATGGTCTAGTGGCATTGGATGTGGGTCAAAAATAGGTACCCAAAAAGGGTTGCCCTGGTAAATGGAAACATGGACTACAAAACCTGCGGTCCAATTCCTGGCGGTTTCATTTTGACCAATACCCGCATTGGATGTCATTCCTCGATTTCAAAAAGCTCAAGCCATGGTCAATTCGGCGCCATGGAAATGGAACTCATCCCATAATCCCATTTCCCCCGGCGGCTCGCTGACCATTTCTCATCGATGGCATCAGTTTGCTCTTGTTTCTGCAAACTGGCAAGCATGGTGTGAAAAGGTATGCAACGCTTTCTTGCGAGCTTGACTGCCAACGACAACTAACGGGGTCACTGGTTGTACTTAGATGGTTGGCAGGCTTCATACATATATGTTGGCCCGGCCCGGGATATTAAAAAAACCTTGGTAGGCTAATAGGGGCGTCCGATTTGAGAGGGGGACCTTGACTTGGGGAAATGCTCCCTATTCATTTGACATTACCCTTTGTGTATGGGCTTGTACTTTGAGGGGTTGTACCCCAACTTGCTGGCAAACAATACCCCCTCGCTGGCAACATGTCGCTGGCAACATGTCAACCGTACGAGCAAGAACATAGATGCATACATGGATAGATGAGATACGATAAGATAAGATAGATAGATAATATATGATAGATAGAAAAGATGGATAACACAAATAAGATTGAAAACATAGATAAGATCAGACGGATAGTATAGGATAGACAAGATATGAGAAGGTAGACATGCAATGATATGTAGATAGATCGATGAGGGTCATAGAGTCTGAAGCCACTAGGAGTACAGCACCGGGGTTATACGACCGCATTCCTTTGGGCATGGGCCGCATGGCGCCAAACTCTTGACCTCTCCACCGGCTGTGCTTGGTGACATCACAAGTGAGAGCGGAGGGAGAAAAGCGCGAGGGCGCAGCATTGGCTCGCGAGAAAATCGGCGGTTCTCGGTGGCCTCTCTGAGTTTAGCAGCCCTAAGAAGGGAGCCCACCCCCAAGCCTTGGACAGCCATGTGGCTGCTGCACCTGTTAATCAATACAGCAGGTCATGCGGCCTTCCACAAAACGAGCGTGGCACTTGAATAGCAAGGCGTGTGGCCTTTGGAATCCGATTGTGGGGATTGCATCAAGAGTTCCTTTGTTGGGTCAATGATGCCGCTCAAGGGGAAAGAGCCGCTTTGAGCGATTTTGGCTAGCGAGCTGAATTCAGCGTGACCAGTCACTATTGATCACGAGCGAGTTCTGGCATATGTTTGCATAACTTGGATTCAACCACATTCCCTTGTCATGAGCAGAAACTCGTGATTTTGAGAATCCTTATGTTTGCCGGCAGCGCCGAAGAACAAGCAAGAACATTAGCAATCTCAGGCAAGTCAGTAAATTTGGGAGGTCCCGAAGAACTGCAAGAGTGGATAGCATTTTTTCCATTCGGGTGTCATGGCTCGATGTTCACCACATGGTCAAGTTCCACACTTGGGCGCCTTGTTGTTTTGGCGGCTTTTGCTGCTGCTGCTGCTGCTGCTGCTGGCTGGCTTCCTTATTTTGAAGACCCAACAAGTTCAAGCCTTAGCTTTAGCAACCATGCCGGCAAGGTAGCTGAGCCATCCCTTGTCACGTCTCTTTGAGTCACTGGATGGGTGAAATCCTCTTGCAAAGCTCTTTGCAGCCGTTGGCGATGAACGCACGGCTGTTGGAGTGTGGAGGTTCGGGCAATGCATCAGTCGCCTGTTGGAGTGTGGAGTGTTGGAGTGTGGAGGTGAACGCATGTATCTAGTAGCCTAAGTTCGACTTGGGCTTGGGCAATTGGCCAAAATGACAACAGTCTACCAAGCAAGTCTGTCAGCTTGCATGTCTTATTTGACAGATGGCTAGCAGACGGGGGATACTAATTAATTGTTTCATTTTCAGTACGGATAGGCTTCGATTGTTCTCCTGCAAGTTAACATGGAACCCCCAAAAACTACAGGCTTTTAGGGAATCAGATAAACATGTAACCTCAAGAGGCCTCATTTTTAGAGGCATACCACTTTACGGAAAGAACCCAAGATGGTTTGCTTCTGCAAATTTGCACAGGGGTCTTGTACGGTTGCTATGACCTTTGAGCGAGTGCTTTCAGGCGGCCCTGCTGGAAGCGCTGGGTGGACGACACGTGCCTTTGGCGGAGGAAACCTGTGGGAAGTTCTGGAGACCTCCAGGGTCCGCAGGTGTTGCTTTCCTCTTTTGGAGGGGCTTCCAAAAAGTGGGGGGCCCGTATTTTCCTGTTGGAGGGGCTTCCCTTGAACCAACAACCCCCCCACCATTTTCTGCCATTGGAGGGTACCAAAGACCAATGGCTACTTGAGGTTTGGCCTAACAAGGTTCCGAAATGCATGGGGGTGTCTCGAAATGGGTTGCTGAATCCATTTCTCGGATAGGAAAACATGGACGCCAACGTGAAACTAGCCAACTCTCAAAATGTTGCACTACTGGTCATTCGTGGAGCCTGGGCCTGTTTGACCCTGTGCTCCCAAAATCCGGAAAATCCAGAAGCTGATGACGGTGGTTCCCTTTCAAAGAGCTCCTGCACTTCTAGGGGGCCCTTTCATTGCGAAAGGCCGCGGTCAAAGCGTCCTGCCCTGTAGCCAAATCCAGTATGAACCAAGACGTCGCATATGACCAGCAAACCTCTCATTATGCACAAGCCTGCCCCCACTCAGATGCCCCCAGGATCAGGCCTTCCAAAAGCTGAGTGCCGCTATGTGTTTGTCAAACAATGCCTTGCCGTCACCACTTGCGAGCACACCCCTGGGTCAAGCAACTTCGGGCGAAAAGCTCTCCGCGGAGTATCGCAACACAGCACGGGTGTCCCAAGTGAAGCTGCAGGAGGGAGACTCATTTCCTAGTTTTCTGTGTCCTCCTTGGCCTTCGATTTTTGTTGGCCAAACCTTTGTCCGGCAAAAATAAGAAATAAAACGACGAGCGCTCAGTGGAACCAGCACGCTGGAGGAGACACTTTAAAGCAGAGGTGACGGTCATTTCAGTTTGCGAGATGCCTTTGCAGGACCCATCTCGCGGAGGGCGCGGAAAAGAGAAGAAGGAGAAGGAAGAAAAGAACTTTGCTGCGTGAGTGGCAGGCTTTTTGACGCTTTTTGATTGGATCGAACCAGCCTTCGTCTTGTTGGTGGAAAACGCTTCTATCTTCAAACACAATCCGGCATACAGTTACTCACTTTCCGGCCCTGAGGGCACTGACACCTTCCCCTTATAATGGCCTTTGTAAATGTTGTTTTTCCAGACCCCCACTCTCCCAAAACAGAAGTTTGAGTCAACAAGGAGTTCCACCGGTTCAAAACCAGCCAGCCAATTTCCCGCCGACCCCAACCCCAGTCGTAGTAGGGGACACTTTGGAAGCAATACTAAACCAATACCAAGCCAATACTAAACCAGTCTCAGCTGTGTTACTTCCAGACTTTTTTCTATCACGATTGTGGGGTCAGTCTAGGAACGGGCTGTACCAGGCGATGTTTTTTAATGGAGAGGGGCATATTTACCAGAGTTGGAAAAGAGGGGCGCGCTCTTGGTTGTGGGAAATGAGTTGCTTTCATGTGCATCGACAGCCCCGGATGCTTAACTTTCCCTAAGGGCAACCAACAAGGGATCGGCAGTTTTGTTCTTTTTCAAACCCCAGGCAGAGCGGTTCATACGTGTAGGACAGCTGGATGGACATCGGATGCCCCATCTCCATGAGCTGAAGATCCTGATAAGTTGTGGGCTTCCTGGCTGGTTCTGGCTCAAGCCCCATGAGGATGTGACGTTTTATCGTTCAGTTGCTCTTTGGTTCCGTTGCTCTGGGCGTTTGGATGCACCTTGCGGCCACCCACTGGAGGGCATTTTTTCGCTACAACCCCACGCCCATCATAGTGGCTGTACAGCTGAAGTCAAGACACCTGGCGATTTGCGGCTAGGGATGGTGCAGGGTTGTGTTTTGTTGTGTTTGGCTTCGGCAAGATGGACGAAGCCACATCGGAAACGTAGGACCTTTTAATAACCCATTTGAATGGACATGCTTTGCTTGTGCGGCTTGACTACACAAGGGCTTAGGGCTCGCAGTGTTTGGCCCATTGATTTATCCGAACACTTGCGACTTGCTGACTTGAGTATAAGGGAGTCCGAAGGAGACGCATTAGCGATTGACCAGCTCGTTGGGAATCATCCAATTACGCACCTCGGCTCTTCCCGTGGCTGTCACGAAGACCAGAGTGCCAGGTCTGTCAAGGCATGGGTCCGAGGCTGAGATTGGCTGGCAGAGCCAGTCGGTGCTTGCTTGCGACCTCCAGTGGTGTCCTTTGGTTTGTGCTGGGTGAGGTCTTGTTATCCATGGAGCTTTGGGAAGACTTGGAACCCTCAAAAATGGTGGGACAGAAAGTCGAGCGTGACCCTGACATCAAATGATGGGACATGACTCTGACATGAACTGAAACGGCGTGACATGACGTGACTTTGACATCAAATGACGGGACATGACATGAAATGACATGACACGGCATGACATGAATTGGAATGAAATGACATGACGTGATATGAGTTGACATGAAATGACATGGAATAAACGGAAATCAAACAAAACATCGTGGAGTGGAATGGAACAAACCATGCAGTTTAATAAATGGTATTGCCTTTTCGGGCATTGTAGCCCGGCCTCGCGCGTATTCGGATCGACTAGGGCCCATGTTCAAAACCACGGGGAGTGGTTGCCAGGATTGACCTTTTGACCATTGAGGAGTTCTTTACCCTCTCTTGCAAAAGAGGGTCTGTTGCAAAGCTCGGCGACTGCGTCAATGCAGGGCTGCCATGACATTTCGGTCTGAGTTTCCACTTTGGGGTGGATTCTCAACGGGGAAATGCAGGGAGCCCTGTTCCCCCCAACGGAAGCACTCAACTGGAGGGCGGTGTGGCACGCGCCATGGCAGCCTTTGGGAGGCGCGCGGTTTGGGCAGCAGATCTCGTGGGACGGATGGGTAGGGGTCAAACTTAGCCGCCAGGAATTGGACCGCAGGTGCTACTCTTTGTTTCCCAGTTATCAGGGTGTCCGATTTGGGGTCCCACTCCCATGGGACGTATGCCAGAAATATTGCAAAGGGAGAAACAAGGGAAACATTTGAATGATTTAACCTACCGAAAACTTGCTGCTGGATGTGTTTGGATCCAATCTGCTGCTCTATGGCGAGCTTCCCGATTCGTTGGGGGATTCGCGGATTCGGGGTGTCACATTCAAGAGGGAATCTGGACCAGTCACGGCAGCCAACAGACGAGTCTTAGACAACAAACATCTTGAACAGCAAGACTTCGGTCTACATTCGTTGGCAAGAGGGTAGATCATTGTACTCCCCGCACGTTTTGCCGGGGTCCAACTAGATTTTCCCCCTATTTGAAAGATCTGCAGAAAGGCCAAGTAGTAATGTTCCTTCAGGTTTTCGGAAGGGCCCGAACCGGCCGGGCACAGTTGGCATGAGAGCTTGCGGTTCCAAAGATCCAGCAAGACCTTGACTCCCCGGCGAGCCATTTGGGGCATCGGTCGTTTGACAAGGATGTCTCTGCGAGATTTATGGGGAAATGCCGAGCCCCGGATTGTCTATGACTCTACGGACGGGACACCTTTCTCCAGAAGGGTGTCAAAAGATGGATAGGGCACCTAGAATTTCGAAAGGGTGTCAATTCAGACGAACTTCACCAAGGGAAATGAACGTTGTGTCGTGAGATGCTTTCAGATGGTTCAGGTTGCCAAATCGACTGTCGGGCTGCTTGATTCTCAGGCACGGCGCTCGGAGGTTACTAGGCCTTAGGAGGAAGCCAGACAGAGAGAGGCAGAAGAGAGAACATATACACCGTCATTTGCGGGGCTTGGCAATAGAAGTGAACTTGACATATTGATGAGGTAAAGTTTTCACGAAATTAATCGACTTTCCTGAATCCGATGATTTGCATTCGGGTTCGCGTGGTTTCTGAACGAACTGTGCCACGTGTCAGTGTGATTTGCTCGTGTTCAAGGGGCTGCAAGCATTAAAAGTCTTTTGCCAGCAGGTCATAGGATCAACCAGGAGTTCTGCTTCATCAACTGGGTTCGCTCCTATTGTTCCCTTTAAGTTGAAGCATTGGTTTGCATCGCCCTGGTTATGTCCCCGCGCAACACTTCTGCTGCCCCAACAGGTGATGCTTGCATCATCCCAAAGGGGCAAACTTTTCTGGGGATTGATGCCCCGTTCTTTTCAAGTATCGTTGTTTTAAAAGCAAAAAGCCGTCGCAAACCTGTCCAACCCGGATGCTTGACCCAGAAGCACACATTGGAAAGTTGCCCGTAGGCCACCGACCAACCAACGAGAGAACCAACCAGCGATTCCTTGTCGGAAGACCCGGGTAGGTGAAGCTATTGATGCCGGAGGCGGGACCCGGAACCCGGCGCCTTCCGAGTCAGTGGAGTCTGGGGCCTTCCCACTCAAAGAGTTGGGATCTCAAAAGAAAGCCGTCACGAATCACATTCTGTGTTGGTTTTCCCAGCCAATCAACGGTCCCAAGGTCGAATGCGCTTGGAACTGGGCACGGACTAAAATGTCCACCAAGCCAGGGGACCCATTGATTCGCCCATGTCCTTTCGTGGAAACAAGTAACTTCGTCCATGGCTCATACCTCAAGACCCGCCTTTGGCACCAGTAGCCGGCAGGCTGAGGCCTTCCTGGTAGAAGAGCCCGGGCCCCGAGGGGCCTCGAGGGGCCGGGCCGAGTGGATGGGAGTGAATCCTGTAGGTATGGGGTAGCTTTTGTCCGGGTCTCCTCCCATATAAGGTTGAAGAAATATGAAATTGTGTGTGTTTGTTCATTTTCTGAATTAGCTATTGTTTTGTGTTTTTTTTGCACTGGCAATTGTTGATTTCATTTGGTGGGCCGGTAATTGGTTCTCTTACCCTGGTTTAGTGGGACTGGTTTAATAGATGTTCTTTTTCCATGTGTTGCCTGAATCAAAAAGGAATGGTAGATTGCCCTCTTGCAGAGGTGAGGCTGTTGCACGTTCATTTCATTTCAAATGGTGAAATGTTTGGGGTGGAACCTTGCTTTGCGCACTGACGGGTAGCCACGCTCCACTTCCGGAGTTGACCTAGGGTTCTTTCAGCTGTTTGGCCATGTTTCTGGGATGATGACCACCTCACAAAAGGGGGTTCCGCATGTCCGGTGGATGTGTGTGTGTGTTTCTCTGGATTATAGCAATGCCCACATTTGGTGTCTGTGTTTGCAGGCTATTGTTGTCAGACCGGTTGAGGCTTCAAGCAAATTTGGGGTATGACTATTCGGCATACATGTTTGCCTTGTTCAAAACCCTTGGGAACAATTAAGGGCCTCCAAGACTCCACGATTAGCCTAGACTGAGGACCCACATGTTCCAGCACTCTGTAAATTCTTGCGCGGAAATGTGCCATGCAACAAAACACTCGTTTTTGTTGGGAGGGCGGATCGGGGGGAAAATCCAGCTGCTCTGTGTGTCTTCGAGCTCGAAGAGCGAGGGCAACCCTACGCGTTGGATATACCGCTGACGTGTCTTGTTGCACCAGAAGCTCCTCCTCAGCATTCCCAGCATCACCCAGACAGGCAGCCCAAACATTTGGAGCCCAAAACATCCCCGACATCCCTGGCCTTGCGACGAACTTCTGATGCCACGTTGCCCGACCTTCAAAAAACACCTGCAAATACTGAGCAAATCGCCCCGGACAGTCGCCAGCATCCCCGCCAACATCCTCTGCATCCTCGCAAACTTCGCCAGCATCCCCGGCATTCCTGCATCACCAGCATCTGGGCGTTCCAGCATCCCTTACATCCCCTGCATCCCCCAAAATTTTCCCTTTGAGAGTAGGTTTTGGCGGTAGGCGGACATGGCGCTCAAGTCTCGAGCTGCTTTCCTTGCGCAAGCGCGGCCGCCGCCGCTGTGCGGAAAACATCGCACATACCGTGTTTTTCTTCATGTTCCCACGGGTTTCTGGGGGGCTGGGACGGGCTGCCGGGGATGCATTTTTTGGTCTGATTGGCTTTCGATGTGAGGCCCGTGCGGCCGGACGCAAGCGCCAAACACAAGCAGGCACACATGCACTCAAGCTCGGGTGGGTGAGTGCGTGCTCAGTGTCAGGGGGGTTGGGCAAGCAACCTTGCGGCCTTTTGCGCGTGTGGGCTCGCAGCGAGCGCGTGCTTGGGTGGGCGTGCTGTGTGGGTCGCGGGCGGCGTGGGTGGGTGGGAGGGATGTGTCCGGAGGAGGTTCTGCACGGAGCATGTCCGGATGTCAGGCTCTGAAACCAGGTCCCGCCTAAACAGGGTTCCTCTTAGTGCTCCCCATCTCAGCTGTCCGACCGGCCAGCGCAGCTGGTGATTGCGAAGCCCTAGGATTGCCAATTTGCGTGGGAAATTCGGTTCCACACCAAAAAAAACTTAAGGGTGAGGCAGCTTGATGCGCCTGCTGAAAGGGGTTTGGGGTCATCTAAGCAGGAATGAGTCTTGGCCGCCAAGAGGAAAGGGCTTGAACTGGTTTTTTGGGAATATTAACTATGAAACCGCCTCTTCTGTACGAGCAAAATGCGTTGTTCTGGAGCCCAAATTCTGTTCGCATTTTGGCTAGATTGGGCTTGCAATTGCGAGTTTTCACAAAGAAAGCAGTGACCTGCAACAAATTCTGCATGGGCACATTTTTGGGGGTTTTGGCCACACACCGTCACACACTCTAGAATACAGAGCAGAACGTTTTTTTCTTAGTAGGCATTTCTCAGTGGCCGTGAGCCAACTCCGAACAAGCTCCGAACAAACTCCGAACGAACTCCGAACAAACTCCGAGCAAACTCCGGACAATCTCCGAACGAACTCCGGGCGAACTCGGAACAAACTCCGAACAAGCGAACAAGCTCCGAGCGAACTTTGGCATTTGTTGATTTCCGAACAAACCCCCGAGCCAACTCCGAACACACTTTGGTCAAACTGCTTTTTTTCGAGCTTACCAAAAGAGGTAAAGTGATTACAGGGGCCAGTTTCAACAAGTGGCCTGGGAAGGCGTTTTTGGAGGCAAACAAACATGTTCTCAGGCCACGTGTTGAAATTAGTTCTTTTGGTCACTTGATTTTCCTGTTATGCATTTTCCGGGCTGGATTTACTTCCCGGACAAGCGCCAAACATTTTTTGGCCATATTTTTCTTTGGGGGGCTGATTTTTGTGTTTTGGCCTTAAGTTTTAGTTTTTCGGCTTTGTTTTGTCTTTTTGCTCGTGTTTTTTTCCAGGCTGTGATTTGTGCTTGATATTTTTTTCGGGGCTTAATTCTTGCCCCGAACGAACTCCGAACGAACTCCGAACGAACTTTGGCCTTAAGTTTGTTTTTGGAGCTTATTTGTTTTTTGGTGTTGAACTTTTCGGGATTTGGTCTGGGGAGCTGTTTTATTTTGTTTTTGCCTTAAGTTTTTGTTTTTCAGCTTTGTTTTGTTTTTGTTTGCTTGTTTTTGCTTTCAGGCTATGATTTGTGCTTAGTTTTTTTTTGGGGGGGGCGGGGGGCATAATTCTTGCCCCGAACGAACTCCGAACGAACTCCGAACGAACTTTGGCCTTAAGTTTTTTTTTGGCCTTAAGTTTTTTTTTGGTGTTGAACTTTTCGGGTTTTGGTCGTACAAAAACACTGGAATTACAGCTTGTTCACGCGTTTTGTCTACAAATTCAGTGTTACCAAGGTAAAAAAAACCTTGAAAAATGCTTAATCCAGGTTGTTCAGGCAAAAAAACAGCTATTTCATACGACCAAAATCGGGCAAAACCTTAAGTTCAACACCGGTGTTGAACTTAAGCTTTTTGTTTTTGGAATAAGGTTTTTTTTCCGGATTAAGCCTTGGTCAAGCAGATTAAACTTTGTTTCAGCTTCAACAGCGAGCCTCAGCGCCAACAAGCTTTTTTTTTTGGAATAAGGTTTTTTTTTCGGATTAAGCCTTGGTCAAGCAGATTAAACTTTGTTTCAGCTTCAACAGCGAGCCTCAGCGCCAACCAAGCTGCGAGATCACCCCGGTAGCGATTTTAGCCCTCCGCAGCTCTCAAGTCCTACAAATCCAGCCCTGAACGCCTTCCCAGGCCACTTGTTGAAACTGGCCCCTGTAATCACTTGGCAACTTTTGGTAATCCCGAAAAAAGCCAAAAAACAGTTTAAACCACCAAAATACTTTTGCTCAAACACGTACTTATGGCCAAAGTGTGTTCGGAGTTGGCTCGGGGGTTTGTTCGGAAATCAACCAATGACAAAGTTCGCTCGGAGCTTGTTCGCTTGTTCGGAGTTTGTTCCGAGCTCGCCCGGAGTTCGTTCGGAGTTCGTTCGGAGTTTGTCCGGAGTTTGCTCGGAGTTTGTTCGGAGTTCGTTCGGAGTTCGTTCGGAGTTCGGAGTTCGTTCGGAGTTTGTTCGGAGTTGGTTCGCGGGGAACCTGGGGCCTCTGAGAAACGCCTACCAAGAAAAACAGTTCTGCTCCGTTTTATGTAGTGTGTGGCCAAAACCCAAACAATGTGTCCATGCAGGATTTGTTGCAGGTCACTGCTTTCTTTGTGAACACTTGCAATTGCAAGCCCAATCTAGCCAAAATGCGAGCAGAATTTGGGCTCAAGAACAACGCATTTTGCTCGTACAGAAGAGGCGGTTTCATAGTTAAGTTATTCCCCAAAAGCAGTTCAAGCCCTTTCCTCTTGGCGGCCAAGACTCATTTCTGTTTAGATGACCCCAAACCCCTTTCAGCAGGCGCGTCAAGCTGTCTTACCCCTAAGGCTTAGCGCGCAGAAACGGCGGGGTCCGCTGGGAAACAAGCAAATTGATTCTTGTTTCGAGGAAACTGGCATCAATAGTACACTTTGAGGTTTGCTGCAAAATCCCTGTTTTTGTTTTTTTGGTTTTGTCAAACCCTTAAGTTTGAGTAAAAAACCATTATTCGTTTTTAGGACCTTAAAACACATAAATCCCGAACGAACTGACCTGACCCATGAAATTTGGCACCTAGGATTGGGGGACCCATTTCAGTTACCGTGCTCAGGGACCGCAATGTGAGGTACTGTGGAGGCCCCAAATACATGCTGCAAGTCGGGGAGCAAGGGAAACCCCGTGATTTACCCCAAGTTGCGTCGATGCACCAGGGTGTTGTGGTTTTTCATGCGGTTGATTTGCGTGCTATATTTGAGGAACCCATCGTAACAGAGGCCGGCCTGAGTTTGCCATTTGTACTGCCCTGTTTGCATGGCAAGGGGAAGAACATGAGCCCTGCGGCCAGGTGACTCAAAAGATTCATCCCGGTGAAAAGCAAACAACAATGACTTGGCTCCTGTCACCGTTGCGACTGCGATAGCAAGCAAATGTGGATGGTAAACAAGCTCATCCAGGATGATGGCCCTTTACAAAGTAAGGGTTCTATTTTGTCCAGCCTGGAAAGCTTCAGCAAGCTGCGCAGATTGCACGAAAAACCAATCAGATGCAGCGCGAGGGATTGGTTGCATCAGGTTTGCCAGCGGCCGCCTAACGCTCGAGCTGGCTGCTTGC